GCGGGAGTGTTTGATCGTCTTGAACTAATTTCTTCGTGAGTCACCCGATCAGGATGTGTAGTTTAGATCTGGGTTGGGTCTTTCACTGATATGCCACCACATGTCATGTCCATTAAATTAGGATCAAATTTAAAAATGTGCCAAATGATCGGGGTAAAAATAGCTAATAAGTATAGCGGGAGACAAAGTTAAATAATAAACGATAGTAAAAAGGTATAGCAGACCCTTTTTCATAATAAAAATGAACTAGTCCGAGTATAAATACCATGATCTTAACTTTTTGAAGTTGTGGATATGTTGTATTATAAAAGAGGGTCATATAATTTAACAAGATGCTACTATGTACATTGAATACGAGATGACAGAAGTATTATCTTATCATCTTTTAATAGCTTAAATTAGTAAAAAAATTATAGCCTAGATGAGTGTGTTTAATGTGAACTCGTCCATAAAATTGAATATTTTCACTAGGATGAATGTAATAATCTCCTGTATGACATATTGATAAGTAAGTAGTAATCCCCACACAACCCAGGGACCGTGAGGGCTCCCTCATGGTCCAAAAGTAGTCCCTTTAAGTTACTTTTTGGCAAGTAATTGTCCAAAACGAATGTACAAAAATCCGACTTGGGAAAAGGATGCTCACAATGTGCAAGATATCTTTCTTTGTTATACTGTAAAAATCTCCTATCGCTTGAGCATGTGATTCGTTTTCTAAACAATATAGAGCAGTTCATTGAAATCTTGAAATAAGAATTAAAAAAATTCAAATGTGTTGCAATATTATTTCCTTGCCACGGAACCAAAGCACTATAAGTAGTTTCTAAGGTGTGCTTGGCTATCGTTATATCTAGTGACGGGACACCCTTAGTAAGGGGTGTCATCTTACATCGTCTCGAAGATAATTTTATTTATGTAAGAATGCAAATAATATATAAGCTGACACAACTTGAAAATAATACAATTATAAAGTAAAGATTCAAAATCAAAATAATCCTAGACCATAATTCAATGAAGTACAAGCTAAATTACAATAATATGCCGACACTACTTGTAAAACATTTGCATAACCTTATCGAAAAGCCATATTGTCTTCAACGATTCAAACTAAATGGCTCTAGCTGTAATTTGATGTATGCTGCCCTCGTCAAAGCAATGTCATGGAATGAAAAAAATCTCATCAAAGGAGAGAAAAATCACCTACTTTACTAATCTCTAAACAAAGAATTGGACAGAATCACTGCAAGAAGCTTAAGTCTTATTATTACAAAAATGAAAAAAAATGACCTTAGGAGGTTCCCCTTTCTGCTCCCCCTCCCCCTAATAGTAGAAAGAAAAACTATTTTTTTCTTTTGCTGCTATGATTTTTCAAACATTAAATACTTTAACTTTTTTTTAAAGCTTTGATTTATAGTATTTTTATGTAGATTTTGTTTTCAAAAAGATTTAACATCAATATCTAAAGTGAGACTACAAATTAGATACTTTTGATTCTCATGCCCTGAACATAGCCATTCTTTCTTAGAAAAAAAAAAACCGAAATAAGATTATCATCAAAAATATAGTAAAGATAGTACGTATTACCCAAAAAAGAAAAAGAAAGTCAAAATATAGTAGGTGTTTGGACATAAAAAAATATAATTTTGAAAAAAAAAATAGCATTTGGAGTTAAGTTGAAAATCGTATTTGGAATTTGAAATTACGTTTGGACATGCATTTCACCTGAAAAATATATTCTTGTGAGTGGAGAAAAAAAAATCAAAAATTTGTGGTCAAAATCACTTTTTGATTTCTGAAAAATCTCCAAAAACTTAGAAATTTTCATGGAAACACGTTTTTGAAAAAAAAAAGGAAAAAAAATAAATCTATGGATAAACGAGTCCATAGTACTTTGTTGATCCAACCATTTGTTTGCACTTAATGGAGGTCTGAATCTTAATCATTCAGATCTCAATCATCAAGTGCGATTAATTTTTAAACTTGAATCTTAATCATTCAGATCTTATCCATTAAGCTTATTTTTTTCCAGTTTTACAACCGCTTAATGCATCTGAATGGATCTTAATGATGAAGATCTGTAACAGAGTCTTAATATCATAAAGATGTTATACATTCAAGAATTTATGGAAAATGATATTTTGCTATTACTCATACACTTTCACTACTAATCACCATTACTACTGTTATCGGTGTCCCCCGTCATTATAGACTACTACTACCCACTATCCACCGCCCATTACCACCATCCTCAACCACCCACCATTGTTGCCAAGAACAAATATCAGTTGTCACTACCACTAGCCATCATTCACAACCATCACCACCAACCACCATTATTACAACAATCAACAATCATCGATATCAACTACCACTATATATCACCCATCACTGTTGTCAGTCATCACCATCATCAACCATCACCGTTAACTGCTATTATCATCCACCATCTACTGCCCATAATCACCACTATCAACCACCATCACCACCAGCAACAACTCAGTCGGCACCCGCAACCACCACTGTTAGCCATCGTTACCATCAACCACCGTATAATTTTTTAAAAATATTTTATTGATTTAGTATTAGATTTATTAGTACTATTTGATTTGAATTTATACTTATTAATTTTTAAATAAAGACAAGTTTTATATATTCTGATGTAGAGAAAACAAACAATCTTAATTATTCAGTATTCAGATCTAATACAATGTGTAGTTTGATTCAGACGTTTTAATACACATATTAATATTCAGCTTCACACGTTTTAATCTTAATTAGAAAAGGGATCTTTACATACCTATACACTATTGGAAACTTTATTACTCTCCCTACTCAACTTTTAATTTTATTACCTCCTATATACAAATTTACCAAATATATACACTTTATGAATTGAGTATCCCTTTATATTAGGAATCAATCATTTCCCATCCTTATTCTATCTCCCTCATGCTCTCTCTCTCTCTCTCTCTCTCTCTCTCTCTCTCTCTCTCTCTCTCTCTCTCAATCCCTAATTCCAGTAATGTAGAGCAAAAGAAAAGAGAGCAGCAATTCCATCATTGACAACCATTATAAAGCTTTGAAGCTTTGAATTCGAATTTGGGTTTTCAAAAACCATTATTTGTTTGGATCGGGTGTTGTTGCAAATAATTGGTAATTCTCTCTACGTCTCTCTCTATCTCTCAATTCCTAATTCCAGTAATATAAAGCAAAGGAAAAGAGAGTAGCAATTTCCACCATTGACAGCCATTAAAAAACTTTGAAGCTTTGAATTCGAATTTGGGTTTTCAAAAATTATTATTTGTTTGGATTGGGTGTTGTTGCAAACAATTAGGAATATGGTTTGGAGTTTATATCTCAATTTTGAGGGTGTTTTGGTGAAGATTAGACTTGATTTTGGCTGAATTTCAGATTGAAACTCGTCGAAAAAGAAGTAGAAGAAGAAGAAGACATGACATACATTATACTTACGAAATTGTAGTACAATTGTAGAAAAATTGTATTCTGTTGTTTATATATTTTTATTTATTTAAACATTGTATGAAAGTTGAACAATATTTGTATAAAATTGTATTTAAGTTGTAGATAAGTTGTATAATATATAATTAGTTTTATGAAATTTGTTCTATGTATACATCAGATATAAAATATACAAAAAATATATTGTATAAAAATTATATTTAAGTTGTATGATATTGTAGTTGTATTTAACTGGATAGAAATAATGTATGAAAGTTATAGCTAAATTGAATAATATATAATTAGTTGTATTAAGTTTGTTTTTACTATGTATAAATCAGGTACAAAATATACAAAAAACATATTGTATAAAAATTGTATTTAAGTTTTATGGTGTAAAATGAAACATATATATTTTGTGTGGCTATAAATCATTGCATAAAGGTAAATTGTCATTCTGTTTGGCACGAGATAAAAAGAAAATATATTCGCATAAATTGAAACGGACGGAGTAGAAGATTGAGTCTTGCAACCGTAAAGATCTTTTTATTTTAACACTTGAGCATGCAAACTAACTTTGTACATACAAAAACTCCATCATTCCCTTTATTTTATTTTATTTTCTCTCTTTTTAAATCTCTCTACATAAAGATCTTTTCTTTCCCCCCCCCC